CCATACTGAGCTCTAATTGCTAAACAAATTTCTCTTAGAAAAAAATATGTAAGATTCCAATTCTAAAATAAGCTATAAAATGCAACAGATAAAAATGACTGTTCACATTTTCAGATTCAAAAACTATTTCATGATATTTATGGCAGTGATATAAAAATGGGACAGGTAGGAAATATTTTTTCCCTAGGAAAATTTTTGATGATTTTGTCTTGATTTATATGATTATATGAAGTCATTTAATTGGATGCTTTTTACCCCAGGTTTACACTTTCCTAACTGTGAGAAATACATTGTGAAATAAGCAGCAATATGCATATTATAATGTATCCTTGAAGAAATTTTAAACCAAGAAATATTTTCTTCCTCCATTCCCTATATACAACATTGTCTGAAATATAGTAGATATTCAATAATTATTGAATAAATAAAACTTAAATGGCAAAAAAAGATATACTTTTCACTGGGATTATGATTCTTGAATAAATTTGAGTATTTTTTTTTTTTTTTGTGGTACCAGAGATCGAACTCAGGTCCTTGTGCTTGCGAGGCAGGCCACCGAACCGCTGAGCTAAATCCCCGACCCTAAATTTGAGTATATTTTTGTTTTTCGCTTAATAGAGAACCATTTAAAATCAGGTTACTACCCAGAGAAATATTTGAGCAACATGCAAGGAAGAATGCCTGGCCTGGTTGAAATTTTTTATATGGTTCCACTGGCAAGCAGTTATGGAAGCATTCACTTCCCATGTTTGCTCTGAATATTTGTTTTGAATATTTGCTTCATTACCTAAAGCCAAGATATGTTGGCTTATTAAAATTAATGATGCCAATAGCAACACACAAAGAGACACATATAACAGAATAGAGTCCATAAATATATGGTCAACTCAAATATGTGGTCCGTTCATTTCTTTACAAAGATGCCAAGACAATTCAATAGAGAAAGGGAAATCTTTGTGTCTCATAACAGTGAAACAACTGAGTATATGCAAGGAGAAAATTAACATCAATTTCCTACTTTCACTACAAAGATATTAACTCAAGATGGGTTATAGAGCTAAATATAAAAGGTGACACTACAAATATTCTAGAAAAAAACATAAGAAAATATCTTTATGATTTTGATCTTTGCAAAGATTTCTTAGAAAAACATTAAATACTAAATATAAGAGAATAATATAATAAATTATATGTTCCATATTTTTGCTCTTTAAAAAACACTTAAGAAAATTAAAAGGCAAGTCACAGATTGGAACAAAATTCTCTCAAGATTAATATTTAAAAATAAGTACACTTTTCACTTATATGTATATAAAGTCCGAATTTTAAATAGGAAAAAGCTTTGAATAAGACTGTCAACAACAAGAATGTATAGTTAATTGCTCATGAAATAATATTCAACAGTATTCATTGTTAGTCATCAGAAAAATATGAATGGAAGCCATAGAGATATTACTAGATCCATGCACCAGGATGGTTGAAGTAAAAAGTGCTTCTGGTGGGAATGTGAAATGTTGAGGCCGCTGTTCGGTAGTTTCTCATGAAGTTAAACCTACACCTACTCAGTATGGGTGTTCTAAAGAATTACCTAAGAGAAATGAAAGCACGTGTTCATAAAATGCCAGATACAAATGTTTGTAACAGCTACACTTATAATAGTGCAAAAGTGAAAACTTAAATATACATCAACAAATACATGATTTTAAATTAATTGCAGCATATTCATTAAGAGTACTGCACCATAATATAAAAGAACAAACTACTCATACACACAACAATGCACACTCTCCCCAAAATACGAAGCTGAAAAATGTTAGATACAAAAGATTCGATACTGAATTATTCCATTTATACAAAGCTTCAGGCAAAGCTACTCTGTAGTGACAGAAAGTAAGATCGGGCTGGCTTGGGGAGTAGTTGTGGGTGGAGAGCTGATGACGAAGGTGGATGAGCGTGATTTCCGATTGACATCTTTGGTGATTACACTGAGCCGATCCCATCATCAGTCAGACTCATTAAGTTGTATACTTAAGATGGATGGGTGCATTTTGTTGTCTTTGAATTACAAATTCATAGAAAAAACACCATTTAAAATGGGCAAAAGATGTGAACAGATGGTACAAAGAGATACAAATCTCCATGAAGTCCACATAGAATTTTCCAACATAGTCAGCAGTAAGTAAAAATTATTACTGTAGTGGCATATCGCTTTATCTGCACTCTAACCTATCAATTTTCTTCCTAAGTCTGCACCCAGGATAAGCAATCTCTGTCTACCAAAAGACAGGCAAGCCTTTTTTTAGACTCCACAAATAAGTCATGTCATACGGTGCTTGTCTTTCTGCATCTGATTTATTTCACTTAGGTTCATCTATGTTGATACAAGTGGTAGAAGCTACTTCTTGTTAAAAGTGGAATATATATATATATATATATATGTCACAATTTCTTTATCCATTCATCTTTGATGAACACATGGACACTTAGGTAATAACTTGGCTGTTAAATAATCCGGCAGTGAACATGACGGTGCAGATTACCACTGCAATCTACTGATTTTGTTGTCATTGTATATATATGAGAAGTGGGTTTACTATCCATTTTTTTTTGTAATATCCACTCTAATAGGGGCCAGGTGATAACTTGTTGTGGTTTTCCATTAGTATTTTGTTTGTTTGTTTTTTGGTTTTTGTTTCTCATACTGGGGATCAAACTCAGGACCTTGCTTTTGCTGGGCAGGCATGGCATCACTGAGCTACAGCCCCAGCTCTATTTGATTTTGTGGTTTTGATTTCTATTTCCTTGAAGATTAGTAATGTCAATCTTTTATATATCTCTGTGTCATTTGAGTGAAAGGTGGTAAAAGGTGGTTACCAGTGGTTGGAAGTGAAGGGAAAACATTCTCAAAGGGCATAGACCTTCAGTTGTATGATAAATAATTACTTGGAACCCTAACATACAACATAATGATTATAGTTAATATTTAATGTATTGTCTACTTGAAATTTGTTGAGCATGGATGAGTGGATCACAAGTGTTCTCTTTAGAAGAAGAAGAAAAGAAAGAAAAAGGAGAGAAGGAAGGAAGGAAGGAAGGAAGGAAACAAAGGTAACTGTGTAAGGTGATAGATACCTTTGCTCAGCTTGGGTGGTAATCAATTCACAACACATACATGCATTGAGCATCTCATGGTATTCCCTAGATAAATGCAATTTTTGTCAAAAATACAAATAAATCCAGAAAAACAATTTTTAAAATGAAATTGGGAGGAAAAAAGACGTGTGCAAGAATGTTTATAGCTGCTTAGTTACAGGAGGAACATACGGAAAACAAACCAAATGCAAATCACTAGAAGAGATAAATGTGAAATAATCACATAATGCAACTATACTGTCATAAAAAATTGAAACACTAATGTGCAAAGCAACATAAAAAAAAACCATCAAAACACTTCTCTGAGTCAAAGAAAGATAGTGGCAGGGAACGCTTTAATAGCAAAAACTTAGGAAATCACAATATAAGATAACCTCTGCCCCTCACTCTGCTTAGTTCAGAATTAACCTGTACCAGAGATACCTAGTCTCTCACAAAAGTTTTGTCAGTGAAAAGAACCATTGTTAGCTTTGTTAATCAAACAAGCTCCTTTCCACCTGGCTAGAGTAGGTAATTGAATAAATCTTAAAGGTAACTTCCCTGACAAAGAACTGTATCTGGGTTGAAATTCAACTGCCTTGCTGTTATGTTTTGGGTGTCAGCAATGTGAGCTGTGAAAATGCAGTGTAACCAAGTGAGTAAGATCAAAGCTATAAATCCTATAAAAGAAGGAGTTGTAACCCAATGGGGGAGTCTATCAGGGCACCGCCATTAGGTGTCATCAATCCCCATTGATACAGTAAACTTTTATTTTACTCCCATTCTGCTGCCTCTCTGTGTGTCACTTGCCAATTCCTTCTGTAACAGTAGGAACATATTTTATGATTCATACGGCTTCTGTCTAGATGTTTCTCCAAAGCCTAATGTGTTCACAGGTGGGGATTTCAGAGGTGGCTGGATCCAGAGTGTGTGATTCTAGGATTGACTCATGGCACAATGCTAGGTCCAAGGGCACTAGGATTAAGGGCGTGAGTGCTGCCCACCTAAGAGCAGGTAGCCTGAATAAGATACAAGAGACAGAAACAGGCTTGTTGCTGGTGCCTTGCTTGCTTGATTGCTTTGCTACCTTCTGCCTGCTATGCACTTTTTCTCTGCTGTGATTCCTGCATGCCATGCTGCCCAGCCTTGGAGCTAGCCAATTATGGACAGAAACTCCATCAAACTGTGGCTAAATAAACCTTTCCTCTTTTAACTTTGGGTGTCAGGTGATTTGTCTCAACAGCGAGAAAAAGTAAGACAATTCTATTTATATTCATTTCATGAATGGCCAAATTATTCTTTGGTGGCAGGAATCAGAACAGTAGAGGGAAGACTGACCAGAAAGGATATGAGGAAACTATCCAGGTTGATATAAATGTCATATGCCTTGATTGAGGTGATGGTTGTATTAAGCTTATTGATTTTAGGAACTTGAATATAACAACTCAATTTCACTCCATGTAGACTTTATCTCAATTAATTAAAAAACAGTCTACTCAACTGAGGTGGTCTGTATGACCATTTTGCTTTCATAGATAATCTAGCCAACAAACATATAGCATTAAATTAATGTTAAGAGCCTATTTACTTTTTTTTGAGGAAAAATATTTAAAGCATTATCCCTTTAAACAGAATGCAATTATCTTTTGGCCATTAGAACATTTAATCCATAGTTTACTCATCATTGCTGTACTATCCAGTGAAGTAAAATGATATCAGTTAGAGTACTCGAAGTTTTTTACTTGAAGTCTAATTATTTTTATTTTCAATATTTCTTTAAATATTTATTGCATACTGATGAAAAGAAAGTAGGAGAGCAAGAGTATCTGAAGTAAGCAGTTGTTAGTTGAAAAGTCTGAGAGCCTTACCTTATAACATTTGTGCTTTAGCTTGCTATTCTGCTTTAACCACGGCATGTCAAGCCCTTCTGAATATTCAGGTAGAAGGCTGGTCAAAACAGGAGCAGAATAGTTGGGAGCTGCAAAATTTACATTCCTCTTATGGGAGTTTGTGTTTGTATATAATGTTGCTGGGTAACCAGAACCCCATCCTTTGTAGGCTAGGTGTATCCTGGCAACCTGTCAACAAAAGGGATAGTACTAAGCTCTCTGGTCACCAGTTAGAGAAATCCAAAACAAGGGTCAAGGGATCAGAAACAGACATCAAAATAGATATGAACCTCAGCTTTATTTGAGGTTGGCTCCCAGAACTTTACTAATGGACCTAGTATCCAACAAGGAGGGACAGATTAAGTTGTGTCGTGAGCTTCTTGGTTGTAGGAATGAAATGGGGTGGAAACACAATTTACTTTTTTAAGGAAGAAAAATACTCCCAGTATTTACTGATTACCGATTTTCTTTTCTAGGCATTTTAAAATTTTTTTTTTTTTTTGGTAAAAGAGCTGGAACTTTCCTAGAACAGAAACATGGATACTCAAAGGCTCTCTATGTGTTGGTCTAAAATGTATACAGCTATCCACTGTAGAAGCTGTGCTTACTTTATTTTTCCTAACATGTCCTAAGATATAGAAAACACTTTCAAGATCAGCATTTAAAATATATTTGAATAATGAATTTTAAATGTTCATGTTAAAAATATGCTGCGATTTTAATATAGTTGTAGTATAATACCACACTGAAATGCTCTGCAATTATTAAAGCTCATAAGGCAAGACAGTTTATTACTATAATTGGAGAAAAAGTTCACAACATATGACTAAAGGAGAAGATACACAGCAGGGGACCCCAACCAGGACACTGGGTGGGTCCATTGGTCTGTTAGAAACCAGAACTCAGAGGAAGAGCCAAGCAGTTGTCTATCAAAGCTACTTCCCATCACTGGTGATATGGCATCTTAGCTCCTGTCTCCTGTCAGATCATCAGGGTCACCGGATTTTCACAGGCATGAAAACCCTACTGTGAATTGTGCCTTCCCAGCATCTAGGCTGCAGGCTCCTTTGAATCATCCCAAACCCACCATCCCCAAGGAAAAATTATCCTTGACAGGTTGCCAGAAAAGTTTCAACCATTGCTATATAAATAATAAGATCTCATTAAACTCTGTGCAAGCATGCTGGTGTGTGTGTGTGTGTGTGTGTGTGTGTGTGTGTGTGTGCTCATGCGCACGCAGATGTACCAGTGCACATACTTAACTCACAAGGCACAAAGTTACCATTGGTTGTCTATGTGTTATCTATGTGTGATAAGGATAAGGAATACATTATTAAATGTTTCTTAGGGTAGACATTAAGAAAACAAAAACCGTTACTTTCTAACATTCCAAAGCCCTGCCCTCTGTGCCCTAGATAATTTAACTGGCGTGTGTAGAACATTTACTGGACTGTTGATTCTGTTGAAGTCAGATTGGACCTCACAGTTTGAAGACCCTCCTAGGTGATCAAGTTCCACACACCAACTTGCTTTCATGCTACACAAATGAATAGAAGTATCCTCTACAGAGATTTAACGATAATTATTTTATGCTATTACATAAAGCACTTTTAATATTTTTCTGCTACCAATCATAAAATTCCATTAAATATGATAATGCACGACTAAAATGACATAAGAACTATTTTATTATTCACGAGTAAATATTGAGATGGGGCAAGAAAACAGTCAACATTTGGCATTTTACTAATTTATGGATCCCCAGTTGACATATTTCTCACATTACAGGAACTACATGCTTTATCAGCCCAATTATAAGCTAACTGAGATACTCTTCTAAAGAAGTTGGCCAATAAAAAAATACCATCCCAAATGCACACACACACACTGTTCAGTCCCATGGCAGGCTCTATGTGTCAAAGGGCAAAAGGACAGAAACTCTGGCCTGAGTCAGGACAACTCCAGAAAACAACATGAAGAGCAGATATTCCTTTATAAAAATATTTCAAGGAGTTCTTTACCCTGACTGGGGCGATCGCTTTCAAGAAGCCCAGGAATAACAGCCTATAGCAAGGACTTAAGAAAGACTCCTTTTCTACATTCATCTAACCTGTCTGAACAGTTTCTAAACTGTCTGGATAGGAACTTTTGGTTTTTTTCAAATTCTGGACTTGCTTGAAAATTTGTGTTGATCTTCAGATTTATTTCATCTCGGCAAAATAGGCCTTCCTGAGTTCTCTCTGCCTCTCCCCCTCATCTGTGCTCTCTTTTACCTTTTTTGTTTTAAGGGACAAAAGCTTTTAAGCTGCTTTATACTAGGGGAGGAGGGAAGCAATCAAGATCAGAAGGCATCTTGGACATCAAATAGTTCTTACAACACACTTTTGATTATTTAAGTGTAAATGAAGCAGAAACATATGGATTCTATTTCCCGTAAATCACACAGGGCTCTTAAAAAAAATCCAGGGAGAATGTGCTCTCCATGATGTGCTCTGTTTGGTTGAACCAAAAACATCTGAAAAATACTTAGAAGCTGATGAATCCAAAATATTTACCCATCCCTATTTATAACATTGGGGGAAACCCTTGATTTATGGTGACAGCTAAACCACTCACATCTGTTGGGCAACCAGGAACCAGCGAGCCTCCAGATAACTGTGTTCCTGTTGTCTCATGGGGCTCCTGACACTTAAGCTCAGATCGAAGGACTGAAGCCTTTCCTTGGAGCTGCTCTGGTTGGGTGTTGCTACAGATTTTCTCACCTGAAGACTTGCAAGTTATCTCAGATTATGTGATGGCCAATCGCACTTGTGTCAGTGAGGGATGAGGCCAGAATTCGCCAGTACTCCTGATCTGACTCCTTGCAGTCCACCACAGGAAGCTCCGGTTCACTTTCCCTTCAGAAACCGCAGCTGTTGTGCCTGTGCCCGAACCCCTGACTTTCATTCAGTGAATGAATCGCTGTGACAGTTATGGAGCAGCAGCAAGCTTTCTCCTGGCTGGTGTTTCTGACCATCTCACGTCTTTTTACTGATAGCCTGAATAGTGCTCCATGCGCTACTGATAATTCTGTCCAGTTTACTTAACTTTGGCAGAGGCTGCATCCTGTGTGCAAGGATTTTTTTTCATGGCAGCAGTCCCCAAACAGGATGTTTGTGAAATCTGGCAAGATAGGCCACTGGGCCCCTTTTCTGTTTTACTTTATTATGATTTACATCATTCTCATCACCTAGCTCACAAATGTTGTCAGCCACTTCACCTCTGGTCCTCAAACCCTCTGATGATCTGTGGGGTTTGATAGTCGAGGAAACTGGGGCTCTGGGACACAACGGGACTTTCGCTTGATTGCCAGCTTAATCCAAAGCAAATCCGGGTGGGGGCATATGTTTTTCTGGTGCCCATTGTCTTTCCTTCTCTCTCCTGCAAGATCTCGCTGACAGCACAGAGAAAGGTCTGACCTCAAAAGGAAGGATTGTTTTTCAAAATTCCTTTTGGCCCAAGAACAGCCTTTGCATAATTAAGTTTTACTTACTTCACTCAATTAAATTTAAAGCATTACCAGAAATGTCCTATGGTAGGTTAGAAAGGGAGGAAGATGGATGCACTCTAAGTGCAAACTAAAGACTTTTAAGATATGATTGTATTTGACACACAGAATCCTGTCCTATACAGATCCTGTCTGTAGGATTCCTTGCCATGGGGCAGGCTTCTCAACCTCGGTTGTGATTATTAATATTTGTGTGGGGGGGTACCAGGGATCAAACTCAGGACGTGGCACTTGCTATGCAGGCGGCAATGCCACTGAGCAAAGTCTCCAGCTCAGTGGGATTAGTAACCTCCACCTCTGTCAAGATATTTTAGGGGTTTTCCCTACTCCTCCTACTTCCATCATGAAATTTTAATACCACAGATACACTCCGTATTTGTTTGTGTACTGAATGATTTGAGTGGGCCTCAAACCAATGTAATATCCCAGGCTAGGTCACCTTGACCACCCCTGTGTTTACTGCCCTCTTGGAGATGATGTCAAGGTACATATATCTAAAAGGCTTAGAGTGGTGGCCTCACGTGATGTCACGGTCAAGCTCATTTACAGTAAAACCATGCTAACCCATCCCGAGTTGTCCTATCAAAAAAGTACAGCAAGCTTTCCCTTGTGTTCAAAGAAAAATATTTTTGTTTTAGAAGAGGATATAGATGTACTATTTTTTATGCATCTGAGCAGTGTGATATTTAGGTAGAATACTTGGAACAAAATAGACTAAAAATAGTATCTAGTCCTGCTGCATATTTTCAGGCAAAAACCGAAGGATTATTGGTTTTACTTTTTAAAATCAATAAGGCACCTAAGTTATTTGTTTACGTGGCATGTATTCAAATTCAGACTCCTCCCAAAAAATTGTCCAAAGATTGCCTTGCTTTATTTTTGGCATAATGAAAGTATTTCCAGAGCAAATAGAAGGATTATCTTTCTTTTGACCTTCCTTCCTATAGGTAGGGCTATTCCTCAGTATTATATTAATGTTCCACTATATTTAAAATATTTTGCACATGTTATGTGGTAAAACGTCCTGTTTTAGGTTTTAGATTTTAAATTTGTCCTGTGTGTCTGGGCAACTCACGCTGATTCTGGTACAGTTTTCCATTTTTTCTCCCAACACCCCTAAATTTGGCCAAATGCAGCATTTGTACCTAGTTGGTACACAGTTAATATTTGTCCCCTGAGCTGATCACACAGCTTTTGGGTAAAAGAGATAATAGTGTGATAATGGCGAGCAGTTGCTGAGGATGGCTGTGCTGCTGAACGTTAAGGCTGGTTTAGTACTTAAGGTCTCCTACTTAATATAAATATTTTGAGATAAATTGTGCATCTCATTTCAGAGAGTTTTCCAAAGCTTTATGGCATGTGAACAATAAATGTTTAATAAATACTTAGTCCCTAGTTTATTAACCCAAAATTTCTAAAACTGGTTTAAATTAAAGGGTTGTGGCTGATAATAGTCTAATTTGTCTATATGGACATTTTATGGAAGGCATTTCCAGTTTTAATTTGAAAAAATTGCAAGTTTTCCCTTCAAGTCGGGGAATGTCTTTTTTCTTCTTATCCTTTTCCTCTTC